AAATGAGATTTGTCTGACATGACTTGTTTTTGAGAAACCCTTGCTAGGTCTTAGTAATCACACCATCCTTTTCTAAATGCTCACAGACCGACCATTTGATTATCTGTTCTAGGACCTTTCCTGGTATTGAAGTCCACTGGTCGGTAGTTACCTGCATCCTTTCTCCCCTCATTTTTGAAGATGGGGACACCATTTGCCCACCTCCAGTCTGCAGGGACTTCACCTGTTCTCCAAGAATTCTCAAACATCATAGACAAAGGCTCTGAGATTACATCTGCAAGCTCCTTTAGTACCCTTGGGTGCAGCTCATCAGGCCCTGGAGATTTGAATTCATTTAAAGCAGCTTGGTGTTCCCTTACCACCTCTTTTCCTATCTTGGGCTACAAGCCTCTAATCAGTTTCAAACTATCCATGTATTGAACACTGTAGTTAAAATTCATTCACAAATTTCAATGTAAAATTGCTACAATAGGACACAGAATGTTGCTAGTTCTGAATCTGAAGGTGCACCATTCTGAGATAACACCAGTGACTGAATCAGTGTTAGGTTCTGCTTCAGTTGTTGCACTGTTTGTGTGCTGTTGGTGCAGATAGGAATTCAGTTTAGGGAGGGACAGTACTGGTGGCTGCTATATTGGACTATGGTCTGGTTGGTGATACACAACTCAAATAAGCCGCTTATAGGTTTTTATTAATATAAGAAAGATGTTTTTGATGCATTTATCTGTGGGAAGTGTTTGTATTGCAGTTTTAATGCAGTGTGTGGGAACTCACTACATTAACACCCTATTTCTCTCTGTACTTCAAATTGCACCCTCTTCTTCTCATTATACCACACATCACTCCGCACCTCATTGTTGCCCCTTTTTCTTTCCCTACAGGTTTCTCCAAAGCCTCATCTTTCTCCCATCCATTTATTCTGTCTCTGTTTTTGCAGTGTTTCTTTCTTCTTCACAAACCTTCTCTAAGCCTTCTTTCTCAGTTTAGCTGCAGCTTTCCAGCAATTCACATAATTAAGGAGTTGTGGGTTAGCTACCCACAAAGGCTGTAAAAACTGTGGCACTAAAAGGAGATGATGTATTGATGCAGCCATTCTCCCACTTCTGATGGGCTTGAGTAGACCTTTCCCCAAAAGATGTGGGAATGAGCTGCAGACCCGGTTTCTTGAATTCTTTATGGGGTAACAAATAGATAGGAATGGGGTCTCAGCCTGTGGGGCTAGTTTACTCCTTGTGCTGCTGGTGCTAGGATCCTGGTAAGCTAGTATTTGAGCTTAAGATCAGGCTTACAACTGGAGAACAAATGTTTGTGCTGTTCCACTTTAAATGCATGTTTTCTCCTCAGCGATTCGATTTGGACGGATGCCAAGGTCAGAGAAGGCAAAGTTGAAAGCTGAAATTCTAACAGGTGATCATTGTATAGAAAATTCTGAAATCGCAGATCTTAAATCACTCGCCAAGAGAATTTATGAAGCGTATTTGAAAAACTTTAATATGAACAAGGTCAAAGCCAGACTCATACTTGCAGGAAAAACCAGCAACAATCCAGTAAGTATTTGCCATCATAAAGTTTAAAAATAGCAAACTAAGCAAATGGTGAGCTAATGTGTATGTAAGACAAGTAAAAGCACTTCTAAGAACTGCGGATGGAACCTGCTGTGTTAGAAGAGGCATTTCCCATTCTCTCTCTCTCTCAGGAGGAGGAGGAGGTGCTTATTTGGTGCCATGCATTATGGAGATTTCTTCAAAGTATATTAGTTTATTTCAGGGCAAATTTATGTAGATTTTAATGACTAATTGATTGATCTGTTAAAACTTTTGTATGAGCAAATTTTATTTTAATCTGGAGGCAGCCTTATTATTATTATTTGTTTATTTTGAGGATATGTACCCCACCTTTAACAAGTTTCCTGGACAGTTCACATAAAGTTAAAAAGACAGTAAAACAAATAAAAGCAGAAAGATAAAAATTGCACAATATAAAAGAGCAGCATGAAAGTAATACTTAAAGAGAGTGTGCTCTAGATACTTTTGTAAATGGTGAGTTAAACCCACACCAATCGTTCTGGGCAGCTTGTGATGAAAGCTTTCCTAAGGACTGAAACTTCGTAACTTCTGGCATTTTGAAGTATTGTTGCTAGGCAGTTGACTACTGCGTATTTAGCCATTTTCATAGAAGTATACAGCTGAACTGGCCAGTCTCATACCACGTAACCTGTTTAACTGCTTCTAAGCAAATGAAAAAGAAATAAAGGAGATGGGGCTTTAATTAGAGGGACACACACACCCCTTGTCCTGTTGCCCGTAGATGAGTATGAAAAGTTGCAGCCTGTATGCTGAAATGGTCCCTTTTACTTTTGAGCCTGTTGTTCTATGTGGTTGCCATACTAGGCTAGGTGGTTTTGCGTTGGGGGTGAGACGGACAGAAGGAAAGGAAGGTGGAAGAGATAATTTGGAGATATGTGAAACTTTATCTGCTTGGCACCAGGAAACACAGAATTTTTTTCTCACAAGTCCAACGGAATTTAGAAGTGCTTATCTTTTGGTTGGATCTTGCCCTGAAGGTGGTTTCCCCTGCTCCCCCTCTTTTAGAGGATGTAAGTCATAAACGAATCAACTAAAATACTAATGCCATAATCCAGCCAAAGTTAAACATGCTTCAGCCTCATTCATTTCAAGTCAAGGGTGCCAAATTTACACTGGACAGTTCCTAAAGCATATTTGGCTGTGGGGGGGGGGAGATCCCCTGGGGTGTGTTTGGGGGGGCAGGGGTGGTGAATGAGAGAGACGGGGAGAGATTACCAAATGAACTTCTTTGACTGCTTTGGGAAATGATTAACTGGGTTTTAGAAATGACTAAGCTTGCAGTACCTTAGTTCTCCAGCAAAAGCAGCAAAGTTTTACAACATCTAGCTTAAAATGTTCTGAAATGGCCTTACATCATTCCTTTCTAATTGTATTTACATCAAAAGCCAAAAAATGAACACAGGATTGAAAAGAAAATTGGGATTGTTATTTCACCATTTAAAGGTGGTATGTCTATTTGAATCAATCGGGAGCTCTTCCACCCTCATTGCAGTAAAGATTATATTATTTTAAGATCACATGTAACTATGAAAGTATTCAGGCAATGTATGCATATAATAAATTGCTCAGTACAGTGGTACCTCGCAAGACGAATGCCTCGCAAGACAAAAAACTCGCTAGACGAAAGGGTTTTTTGTTTTTTGAGCTGCTTCGCAAGACGATTTTCCCTATGGGCTTGCTTCGCAAGACAGAAATGTCTTGCAAGTTTGTTTCCTTTTTCTTAACACCGTTAATACAGTTGCGACTTGACTTCGAGGAGCAACTCATAGAACGCGGTGTGGTAGCCTTTTTTGAGGTTTTTGAAGACTTTGGTGATTTTTGAAGCTTTTCCAAAACTTTTCCGACACTGTGCTTCACAAGACGAAAAAAATCGCAAGACAACAAAACTCGCAGAACGAATTAATTTCGTCTTGCGAGGCACCACTGTATTCCACGACTTCTTCGTACAATCCCTGGTGGTACATAGTAACCTGATTTGGAATGGGCAAATTTCAAAAGTAAGTTGTAATTTTGCCAGAGTTGCTAGAGTGTCAAAGAAAGAAAAATGTTTTGTGTGTTTGTTTTTTTTAATCCACATGAATAGTCCTAATGATGTGGGTTTTCCAGAATAAACTGAATTGGAGTCTTTACCACACTGAATTGAAATATTTGGTTGATGGGTGCAATTCTATCCAGGATTACTCGGCAACAAATTCAATGAATGGCAATGGGACTTGCTTCCAGATAAATGGGCATCGGATTGTAGTTACATTTTGCAATCCTTATGCTAGGTGTGCTGATACACCTCTGTTGAAGCAGCCTCCAAATCCTATGTCCACGTAGTCAGAAGCAGGGAAGTACAACATCAGGAGAAATAATCACATCAGGAAAACAACCAAATGCCCACAGCATCTGCAGAAGCATTGCCACAGTCTGCTATCAGGACTGTGGCAGTGACAAGATCCACATGACACAGAGGCAGCCAATGAACCTGTACACCCTCCAAGACACACCCTGCATTGCAACACACACAGTAATGGAAAAGCACCCTCACTCTAGCAGGCCTCAGTGGCACAGGTAGCAGTGCAATAGCCAAGTGCTTTAAGACCCAGACTACCAGTTGGTACTTCCAGGAGGCTGGAGAAGAGACTTGCCATCATTGCTCTCCCCAAGACTTACCTTGTGTTGCTGTCAGCCTCCTCTGGAGGAGAGGTGGGGGAGCCAGCTGGTGGCCATCTACCCCTCCCTCTGAGCTGCATTTAAGGCAGGCTCCTGGGAGTGCAGAATCTTTATTGGCAGTTAACTTTTGTTTTGCTTTGTACCTATTCAATGTACCTATTCAACAACTTAGATGGTTGTTGTTACTTATATTGAATTTATTCTGTGTTTGCCAAATTGTTTTGTCGCTTTTGAATTTTCTGACATGTTCTGTATTTTGTATATTCATATTTCTAATACTCTGTATTTGTTTTGAAAGTTTGCTTTAAGCCACTTTAGGCATAGCTCATTGTGGAAAAGCAGCATATGAGTGAACTCAGTCAGTGACTGCCTGTTCAAAGGCATTCCTCCAAACAGAGGCAAAGGTGCTAACATAATTTTCTGGGCAAAGTGCACTGCAGATCAGATCCTCTACCCTACCCTCAAAAGATAAGCATATTTGCATAACAATGGAATATGCTAATTTACTTGTGTAGCTGCAAATTTATAAGTAAATAAGTGAGAAGACTCTTACCACGCATAGCTGTCAACTTTTCCCTTTTCTTGCGAGGAATCCTATTCGAAATAAGGGGATTTCCCTTTAAAAAAGGAAAATGTTGACAGCTATGTTACCAGGTCAGGGGACATACTGTCCCCACCTTTTTCCTTTGGTAAATATCAAACTGGTAGGAAACCTTTTTTATATGAAGGACCATTGACCCACAGAAAAGATAAATTGAGGCACACACAGAAGTAAAAAGCTATCTGATTGGCAGGATGTCAGCAGGTGCAGCTTTTTCATAGTTGTACTTCCATACCAGCAAAAACTTTTGTATTCTTGCTTGCCGCAAATATAGTGCCTCTTCTGTTATCGGTGTTTAAGGCACAAAAGCCCTGCTCTCTCACAATGGCAGTCCTAAACTATAGAAAGATCTCAGGTGCATTATATAACGCTTGTTACTGTGGGTCTGTCATGTAAGGCTGGATACATTTCAAGATAAGGCGTGATATATTAGATGGAGGTGGTGTCAGAGTCAGTATTAAACGGTTAAATGCAAAAGGTATATACTGTAAGAACATTGGCTGTGATCACTTTTTAAATATCCCAATGACAATAGCAGTGTTGTCAACACAGATCAAACAAGCACCCTTTCCTTTTCTTTTTTGAGCAAAAGGGATTTGACCCTTTGACATTAATATGCTCATTTAGGTGTTTATACCAGCACCAGCAGCCTATGCACCCAAACCCCCCTATTTCTTCTGATAGGCAGGGGAACTTTTTCCAACCTCAACCATTATCCTGATCTTTATAGACTTTTTCTTTTTGGTTTTTATATATTTTTAAAAAATATAAAACACCCTAATATTTTAAATTGTTTTCATAGGGAAATAAATGCATGTGCTAGACCCCCAACCAAACTTGTGTGACATCTCCATGTGCTCCTGCTCCCTTCCCCACACTAGTTGTCTTGCTTCCTCCTCCCTCAAGACCCAATACAATAATTTTTCCATTAACTATTTTGAATGCTGCTTGTGCAATGAACAGGTGGCTTGGCTGACAAGCCCCTCCCTGAAGGTGCTTCGAGTGCCTTCTCCTACGCATGCGTAACTCTTCCTCTACCCCTCCTTGTGTGCAGTCGCCTGATCTTGGGATTCACCCATGCTCACAGATGTCCCCCTCTTGCTTGTGGGTGTGGGCATTTTGGCTACAAAGCCATTAGCATGTGCCTTCCATCTGCGGCTCTCTTTGCCTCCTGAGAATATGCCCCTGTGGGGTTGGGATGCCATTGTGAGATGTGGTACCCAAGGCTGTGGGTTCCAAACCATTGTCTTAAAGCTTACTACCTTAGGCTGTGAGACTTAACTATACAAGCAAATCCACATGGGGCAAATGCTTCTGGTGGTGTCATCTTACAGTGTATTCATTACCTCTTTCAAAATGCTGAATGTTCTTGAACAATTTATTACATTGGTGGATCCCATCTTCCATTAAACCTGGTTCTGAAGACACACCTTCAGTAGGGGCTTTGATTATATTTGTTTTGTTCCTGTTAATATCTTAGTATATTCTATTGCTTTTAGTATGTAAACAGTTAACATATTTACTTTCACTATCTCTTTGTAGCCATTTGTTATACATGATATGGATACATTGTGTATGGCAGAGAAGACACTGGTGGCAAAACTGGTAGCCAATGGAATACAAAACAAGGAGGCGGAAGTTCGAATTTTCCACTGCTGCCAATGTACCTCCGTCGAGGCTGTAACAGAACTTACAGAATTTGCCAAATCCATCCCTGGCTTCTCTAACCTAGACTTGAATGACCAGGTGACGCTATTAAAATACGGAGTTTATGAAGCCATTTTTGCCACATTAGCCTCTGTAATGAACAAAGATGGAATGCTGGTAGCCTACGGAAATGGTTTTATAACTCGAGAATTCCTCAAAAGTTTAAGGAAGCCATTTTGTGATATCATGGAACCGAAGTTTGATTTTGCAATGAAATTCAATGCATTGGAGTTAGATGACAGTGATATAGCTCTTTTTGTGGCTGCTATAATTTGTTGTGGAGGTAAGACTTAAAGCTTCTATAGCTATGTATTCTAATTAGTGATTATCTCCATTTATACTACCTCCCCACCTTCCTACAGTAGTATTCAGGGCAGCTAACAATAGCAATAAAGCCATTATTTAAGCAAGTAACAGTAAGATAAAGAATATAACAGTAGATTTTGGGTGGTTGAGAAACAGATGGAAAGATTGGAATATTTCTTGCGTTATACTGTGCAGAATGAATGATTAGCTGCTGTTCCTCATGAACCTCGTATGAATTTTACCTTTCCCTGTTTCTAGTAATTTCCTTTCATAAGTGGTTTGAGTTGGTTGAGAGCAAAAATGGACAAGAGGATAGCTATAAATGACAAGGCAAAACAGTTTAACAGATCAAAAACATGTTTTTGTCTGTTTAAAAGCTGCTTTCTGTTTATATTGGTCTCGTGGTTTGTGGCTGTATGAGGATTTGAAGTGGGTTTCCCCTAGTCTAGCAGTCTTAAAAACTCTACTACCCTCATTCTTGCAGTTAACATTAGGGAGAGGGTCTTTTAGTGGGTCTTTCAGTAGGATCTGAAGCAAATATAATTTATGGTCACAGATTAACTCTTCTACGATAACTTGATGTGCTTTTTTTTGTTTTGGTGAACAGATCGCCCTGGCCTTGTAAACATAAGACACATTGAAAAGATGCAGGAGAGCATTGTGCATGTACTAAAACTTCACTTGCAGAACAACCATCCTGATGACATCTTCCTTTTCCCAAGGCTTCTACAGAAAATGGCCGACCTCCGACAGCTTGTCACAGAACATGCTCAGCTTGTTCAGGTTATCAAAAAGACTGAATCTGATGCACACTTACATCCTTTACTACAAGAAATCTACAAGGATATGTACTAAGGCTGTTTTTTGTTTTGTTTTGTTTTTTGTTTCGTATGACGTGAAAATACAAAAGCAATAGATGGGAGCAAACTACTTTGCACAGTTCTCTCTGTTGTGCTTTTATTTCAAAGCATTAGTGAGCTAAAAGGTAGGTAACTGCAATATCATATTTTTCTTGCCCGGAGTTATTTTTAAGTACTTAAGAGAAACTGTATAGTATGTATAAAAAATGGCAATAAGCTGTGATTGACTTGAAATTTGGGCAACAGTGGTAATATCATTTATAGTACATCTGAACTTACTAACAACATACACTTCTTCTGAAGTTTCTGCACTTTTAAGCCTTTCTCCCATCATCTTCATCACTGTAAGAAAGCTAGGAGTTTGGGCCAGGATCCAAAAGCTTTTATGTGATGTCCATTAAAGCTTTAACAGTGTTTCTCCAGCAGCAGTCCTCCGTGCTTTGTGGTGAGTTACATTTTGAAACTCAAAGGTGTTTCAGAAGCAGCTTGGGATTTGACATGGTGGGGGCAGAGATGTCTGCCATTAAAACAAGTCATATGCTACTGGTCATACCCTATCCCTTAAATCAGTGTTTCCCAACCTTGGGCCTCCAGCTGTTTTTGAACTACAATTCCCATCATCCCTGACCACTGGTCTTGCTAGCAAGGGATGATGGGAGTTGTAGTCCAAAAACAGCTGGAGGCCCAAGGTTGGGAAGGTAAAGGTAAAGGTACCCCTGCCCGTACGGGCCAGTCTTGACAGACTCTAGGGTTGTGCGCCCATCTCACTCTATAGGCCGGGGGCCAGCGCTGTCCGAAGACACTTCCGGGTCACGTGGCCAGCGTGACAAGCTGCATCTGGCGAGCCAGCGCAGCACACGGAACGCCGTTTACCTTCCCGCTAGTAAGCGGTCCCTATTTATCTACTTGCACCCGGGGGTGCTTTCGAACTGCTAGGTTGGCAGGCGCTGGGACCGAGCAGCGGGAGCGCACCCCGCCGCGGGGATTCAAACCGCCGACCTTTCGATCGGCAAGCCCTAGGCGCTGAGGCTTTTACCCACAGCGCCACCCACGTCCCACAAGGTTGGGAAACACTGCCTTAAATCAGGGATAGCCAATATTGTATTCTCCAGATGTTGTGGACTACATCTCCCATAAGCCCCAGCCAGCGGTGGTCCACAATCCACCTGGCCTGGTGGGCGAGGCCCACACTCACCCAGCCCTACTGAAGAGGCTCCTCATGAGGCCAGAAGAACATCGGCCGGCTATTGTTTTATTATTTATTGATTTAATATGCTGTACACCGCTTTGAGGTTTTTATTAAAAATATAAAGCAGTATAGAAATTTTAAAAATAATAAAATAAAATATCTGAAGGGCACCCTAGTCACTAGCCCTGCATCTAAAGTACAGTAAGCCCGCAATTTATGCTGGGGTTATGTTCTGGGGATTGCGCTTAAAGCCAAAATTGTGTATAGTCAAAGTACATTGGGCTCCCACACTGGCGGGTAGGATTGCCAAAGTCTTTTCCCCCAGATGTCTGCCCCCCTTTTATTTATTTTTATTTTTGCCAAGTGCGTAAAACTGAATGCGCACAAGCTGAAAGGCAAATAAATTGTAGGCTTACTGTAGTTTCTTTAGCTCCTGTCCCTACCTCGATGGTTTTCCATAAAGGATGCATTTTTTAAAGGCTCTCTTCCTACTTAAGGCTGCAATCCTATGCACAATTTCTGGGAAATAAATTCCGCAGACGTCACTGGGACTTGTGTAAGATTGCTGTGTTGTTTTATTTATTTAACTGAAATGAAATCCCATTGGCATGTCAAAGCCATAATGATATTGGGAAATATATTTCATGATGTGCAACCAGGCCCTGCCTCTTCCATGGTTCATGCCAAACTGCTTACTTCCAGTCAGCTATGCAGGATCAATACACAACATTAAAAAACCTTATAGTCATGCAGAGCCAATTCATAATATCTTGTGTATTCTGGTGCTTGAGTTTGAATTTGAAACATTGAATTTCTAAAACAGCTCTGCTCTGGGCAAACTTCATGTTAACCTGCTGTTTAGTCCTATAGTGAACCATAGATACAACAAAGTTGATGTATCTGACAGAATGTTGCTTCCATGCAGCACTGAAACAAGGAATAGGAGTCAGAGTAGTGTGTTGTTTGGACTTGTGGATAATTTTCTAATTCAGTTCCCTTTCTTCACTACCGAAGCAATAATACTGGGGGGGGGGGGGGACACATACACACCGCATAGAGGCCAAGGTGTTCCAATACTGTAATAAGTAGCTTATTAAGGTTATGTTTAATCCAGATGCTCAGCACTAATGCAAGTTGTTACACATAGTTTTTGTATTCTATAGACAAAAATCGATCATAAAGGCTTTCCCTCTCCTGGAACCCTGAGAACTCTTTTTGGGGTGGGGGCAATGCATCTCATTCAGATATCTCAGAACTTTCACCATTCTACAGTTGCCAGGATTCTTTGGAGAAAGTCATAACCTTTAAAGTGGTATCAAACACGTCTGCAGTGTAGATATGTCCCTAGAGCTCTTTATATCAGATGCATACACAACTTCTCACAACAGTGCTTCCTTTGAGGATCATTTTTAATGGATGCACATGAAAGGCTGCAGATATTACAAAAACTATGCTAGGGTTTGTTTGTTTTAAATTCATTGTATTTCTAGGTGTGTGCATTTGATATTTTTAAATACTACTGTTTTATAGGCTAGGGACACGGGTGGCACTGTGGGTTAAACCACAGAGCCTAGGACTTGCAGATCAGAAGGTTGGTGGTTCGAATCCCCACGACAGGGTGAGCTCCCATTGCTCGGTCCCTGCTCCTGCCAACCTAGCAGTTCGAAAGCACGTCAAAGTGCAAGTAGATAAATAGGTACCGCTCCGGTGGGAAGGTAAACGGTGTTTCCGTGCGCTGCTCTGGTTCACCAGAAGCAGCTTAGTCATGCTGGCCACATGACCCGGAAGCTGTACGCCAGCTCCCTCGGCCAGTAAAGCGAGATGAGTGCCGCAATTCCAGAGTCGGCCACAACTGGAGCTAATGGTCAGGGGTCCCTTTACCTTTTATTTTATAGGCTACACACTGCAACTAGTCACATGTGTCTGCTAAAACTGTAATTTGTGAGGTCTTCTGTATTCTTTAGGATTGCTTCATTTGTATTTTGTGCAAATACTTTATTAGAACACCTGTTTCAAAGATAACATTTTATAAGATCATAGCAAAATCAGTCACCTTGATTTTGGAAGAAGAAGAAAAATCCTAGATCTGCTTTAGTTGGTTATTTTTGTGGCAACTCCATCTTTCCATTAAATATCTTCCCACTAAAATACATGGATGGCATTTGCAAGAGGGGCATTCTGTGATTTTGTAAAAAGTATTGGGTTTGTATTGCAAGATCTAAATAGTTCCACCCTTTACATTCTTAATTACTTTACCGAATGACAATCCCTTATTTTTAAAATTTGACCTGGTTTCTGTATAGCTGAAACAGTAGCCTGCCTCAGGTTTCTGTTCCTGGCTACCATATGCTGGTTTTTCTCCAGATTGTTTAAATCTTTTGTATTTCATAAACCATGGCTTATTAAGACTGAAACCAGTATTAGAGGCCTTTGGCTCTCCTCATATTGTGCACCAGCTGTGGCATGAAGAGCCTTGCTTATATTAAGGCCGGGCTCACTCTTGTGTCCAAACTGGAGAACTCTGGCTTAATGTCAACAAACTAGGATCATACCTGGTTTTTTTACCATGTTGTTTTTAAAAGTTTGCAAGCTGCTGTTGGTTTCTAACTCACCAGTCACCAGCATTTTGCCTTCTCTCTGTGGCCTTCCCTTCTGTGGCCTTCCATGTAATTTAGAATAATTTAGAATGCTATGGGATACAGTTGTAGGATGATGTGAAGATCTCTAGTATTTTGTGAATACCTATGCACCTATGAATTACAAGTGCTGAAATAACTTTTGAGAGCCTACAGAACTTCAGTAATATGTTAGTCAGTGGATTTTAGGAGAAGCACTGTCAGAAAGTGCACTAGAAGACTGCTTGCACTATCATTCAGAGTACTCAGGATTGGGACCATAACTCAAGGTGCAATGTTGAAGAAAAAATTGTTTTCCAAAAATGAAATTGGCTACCTCAACAAATTATGAAAAAGAAGGCAGCAAGCTGACTAGCTCAATAAATTTATAATATATGACTCAGGGTTGCAAGTCCAAGGTAACTGGAAACAGTTCTAATATCTACTCTCATCATGCAAATTGTGTAGCTTGTGGGGGGAGTCACACTACTTTATTTTTTGCACACTCATATCCATGTTGCGTTATTTCTGTGGATTTAACCTGTGGCACTTTCATTCACTGTTAGCTACTAATTATTACTTAATTATAATGTGAGGGGGCACTTAAATGCATGGACATTTGAGCTGAGTCTCCTCCCCTCGCTTTCTCGAGCACTTTGGGGTATACTTTTTCCTATTCCCCAAGTGAGCCCATAAAGCTTGACATTTTTCACACTACAGCAAGATTTTGTGTGCCATAGGAGTGGCAAATGCAGTTTTCCTGTAAAGTCCCGTGTTGCCCAACACGCTTTTCAGTCCTGCAAAGATCTCTCAGCACCAGCTGCCAAGTTAGTGATTTTTCTCTGTGGCCTCTGCGCTGGAGATACCACTTCCCTTCTCTTCCCCTGTGCTAACCAAAACCAGAGAGCTCTACGTAACAAAAATGCTTCTTAAAACAGATCAGTACAGTTGACTTCCACCAAAAGAAGTGGAGGGTGGGCAGTACCTCACGTAGCTTGGGCAGCAATGGCACCACATGGACAACGGCTTTTAACACTGACACAAGCTCACTTTCAACGAGACCACAGGAAGTAGGCGTAGATTGAGTTGTGGCCCTGTGACTAGATTTCTTTTTAGGCCCATATTTATAGCTGCTGCTTATCAGTGCCTTGTAGAATTTCTTCACTTTGCCATCTAGCACCACCTCAGCATGTTATACTGGGGCATGGTGCAGTTGTGCTGTCCTCCTCAAACGGAGTCTCAGTTGATGTTGTTGACTTTGACTTCAATGGGATAATAAGAGTAATTGAGAAGTGAGCCCATAGTGATCCTATTGTTCTGTCTTTTCTATATGTGTAACTCTCCTCGGGGTTTCATTTCATGATGTTTCACTGTGACCTGGAAATAATTATATATGTTGAATTTGCTATGCTTCTCCGTTGTGAAATATATTTGATGTTGTGCTGCTATTATTTAATCAAACGTGATAGTTTTGATCCATTTCATATAAATAATGCCATGAACAAACCTATAGAAAATTGGTGGTGTAACAATTTTTAAAGAAAGCATTGGGTTAAATTTAATTTTTCACAGTTATAAATATGCAAATATTTCCAATAATATGGACACTTTCACAGATGAA